TAGCTGCATGTGGGTGGTGCATCATAGTACTGCTGTTAGTTTGCTAGCGTTAATGGTTACACTGGTTGCAGCCCTCTTATTAAGCCAATGCCATCGATAGCTTCCTTGGCGGCTATGGCTATGAGTGGTCAGGGTGTCTACCTATACTGTCTTGACAAATAGTGTTGACTCGCTACTACTGTACTGATGGAGCTTCATCTTTAATCCTGATAGATCACTTATACGTACAGCCGCCATTCTTGTGCGCACATTTCATAACGCATCCCGAACGCATACATTCCTTTGAGAGGTTCCTGATACCATCCATGTGCCATTCTACTTGTTTCGCGCCTGATATGTGGAACACAGTCTGCCGGACCCACACACAGCCCTTGGTTTACTAGAATCTCACCACTTCCACACGAGTCCCGCCCCATCGCTATACCATTAGCATGAAGATGCTCGTCGTTGCTCACGCGGCTACTTGCTTGAACAAGCCAGGCGTGGTCTTCAGTCCGGGGCCTACAAAGTTAGCCGAATAATGAAAATACCTCAATTAATAATACTCGATGGTCATGCATCCACCAATATCGCAAGCTAATGAGGGATAATTCTGATGTGAGCCAGTTATCTCACGAATATTTGCTTGTGCCTTGTATTCAGACTCACGGTTATCTTGCTTCTATGGACCTGATTGCGCGTTCCTCGATAGTCCAAGTGGAATAATTGGAATCATCAAAGAACTAAACAAGGAATTCTCACACACACTGCTAATGCATTGTTCACGTACGGCGGCCGCGGGGGGCGCCGCGTCTAGGAGAGGCAAAGGTTAATAAGCTATACAGTTACATCGCGGTCACAGCTTTACTAGGCATTGCCTGCCTCGTGCATGCCATTATTCTCTACTTAATTAATGTCTAGTTATACTGTTTATCTGCTTATTTCTTCTCTTTTCTTTTTTTTATACTAGCAATGTAATAAACTGCTGTGCTACCACATCAAATAGACTGTGAATACTGCATCTATTGAGTAGGCTTTCGCGTGATTTGCATCGCTATATATGATACATTGCCAATTATAGGTTGTTTTCCGCATTCCAGAGTGCCGCACCAGTTTTGTATCTCACTAACACTCTGATTACATCACTCATATATTATATTTGTTGCTTAGCCATCGTCTAGCGGGTCCGAAATCTTAACAGTTGCCCGAACAAAAATCGCCCCACCTCTGTCATGAGTCGAACTGGAACCCAATGTGCGCGAAAGAGCTTTTATTCCAATCTTGAATCCAAGCGAGCTGAGACCACGGATGGGACTATACTACGCACTGTTTTTGAAAAATACAACGGTGCAAAGAACCATCTATCACCATACCTTATATGGATGCATGGGGATTAGGTAATGCAGTCTGCAGCATTTTCACACGATATCTTGAAAGCGATATATTAAAGAGAGCTGTTGCAATGCAGGCTGCCCCCACAAGTAATACATACAGGGTATTAGCCGGAATGAGTATTGTGGGACGTGCAGAATAAATATTTTGGAGTGTATTTTACAAATGTCATGGCCTTTTAGATCAATGATTTTAGGCGCTGCCCTACACATTTTTTGGCCGTTGCAGTTTCAAAACTGACCGTGCAAATCACGGAACCTGCACGGCTCGCTGGTTAATAGTTTGAATAAAAATATATTCATGCAAATCACTATAAGCATTTTGATGAAACGTTTAGCAGCTGGCGTGGAATGCAGACAAGCTACACAGGACGGGGGATCCAGAAACGCAGCACCAAATTCCCCCGGCCACTCCCAATTGCAGCCTGCATCTTGCACGGTAGTTTTTTGAAACTGGCAACGGCCAAAAAAATGTGCTAGCCGCCTTAAAATATTTGATCTAAAGCCATGTCACATTTTGTAAATTACACTCCCAAAATATTTTTCTCGCCCACTCCCCAATACTCATTCCTGGCTATACCTGATGTAATTACTTTGTGCAACCTGCGATTGAACCAGCTCTCTTATATTATCGCCTTTCAAGATATCGTTCAGCTCGGAAAATGCTGCCCAGACGTGCATACCTAATCCCCATGCATCCATATAAGGTATGGGGATTTAGATGGTTCTGCACCGTGTGCTGTTATTTTTTCAAAAAAAACACGTGCGTGTTAATAGTCCCATCAACCACGACGTAGGCGTCTCAGCTCGCTTGGATTCAAGATTGGAATAAAAGCTCCTTTCCGCACATTGGGTTCCAGTTCGACTTCATACAAGGTGCCATTTTGTTCGGCCATACTTGTTAAGATTTCGGTACCCTTAGACGATGCTACAAAATATAAATATATGAGCGGATGTAATCAGAGTGTTAGTAGATACAAAACTGCGTGCGGCACCCTGGAATCAAACAACCTATAATTGCAAAGTATATACGTCAATCACGCGAAAGCCTCTCAATAGATCAGTATTCACATCTATTTATTAGCACAGCATTTATTACTGTAGTAAACAGTATAACTAGACATTAATTAATAGAGATACATGCATGCACGCAGGCATGCCTAGTTAAAGCTGTGACGCAATGTAACTGTTAGCTATACCTGCCTCTCCTAACCCGTACGTGACAATCATTACAGTGTTGTTGAGTTCCTTGTTTAGTTCTTTGATGGATTCCATTATTTCCACTGGACTATCGGAAGGAACGCCATCAGTCAAGAACAAGATAACCTTGTCTGAAAAATACAGCACAAGCAATGTTCGTAATAATGCTCACATCAGAAATCATTAGCTTCGATTATTCTGCATCTGAATTCGATATTATTATTGAGGTATTTTCATTATTTCGCTATTTTAAGGCCGGACGAACCACCTGCATGTTTAAAAATCTGATTGAGTGACTAATCGAACAGGCGGGTACACAAGCAGGTTTATCACCATGGCAGGTCAGTACATAAGTGCTGCATACCACGCTGAGACGTCGTTGGTGTTTCCTTCAGAAGACCAAACGCTGCTCGCAAGGCTTCTCGGTAAAAAGTGGAACCGTATGCGTTCAGTCCATCGATGTACGAGTCGAGATACTTAATGTTGCTAGGCGACGCAGACGCCAGCTGTCTACTGAAGCAGGTACTGACCTCTGTATTGCCCGGAGGTTTATTGGCATTGGTGCCAAATGCCACTACACTCACCTGCAACCGAACGAAACATAATGACAGAAATAATGTACACAATATACACCTATGCAGTGTTACCGTCATGTCTCAGTTCGATTTACATCGCCTGCAATATCCCGTGTGAGCTCATGTATTCTTTGTTTACTCCTGCGGCAATTACTATGTGAACGTACATGCACACACTAACCCAGAGAGACGATGAACACCAGCTCGTATGTGCACGTAGTTATTTGAGTTATATATCTCATTGATGCTCGATCTCTACTTTTCTTGATGTTTTACACAATATCGGGGCATTATTTTATGCTAGCTCCTGTGTTTAATGAAAACATGCAAGACTACGGGCTGCCACGATAATTTATGTCACAACCTCAATTAAGAAAGTAAAATCGGATTACTTGAATTTACATAGCCTAACAAGAAGCAAAGTTATAAATGCAGGAAAGCGTTTTGGTATTATGGTGTCACATTACTAGCCTTACACATTCGATTCTAGAGAAACTAGTAGAGACTATCATCGT